GAATGAAGGAATGTATGAGTGTGTGTGCGAATGAGTGTGTATGGGTGTCTGCCAGTACTGGGTTGCTGCTGGAAGGACATCCATTGAGTAAAACATTTGCCGGAATAGTTGGCGGTTCATTCCACTGTGGTGACCACGGAAATAGAGACTTATCTGCAGTAAAACGAATAACTGAATGAACTTAAAAGCAGTGTAAGGCATTCAGATTCTCAGAGCAAGTAATATTGTAATGTAGCTAATTACGTGACAGTATCTAGAAACTAATTGCTCAGCTCCGCTGGCAGGAGATGTGTCCTCGCTTCCCAGATTTCAGATTTAAAGCCTAAAGAAGAAGATTCGCCTAAAATAGAGCCATCTCCAGCTCGGATTGGGAGCATGTACCTGTCTCTTGCATTGGACAGATCTGACCCATAGCTTGAGGCTTGATTCCAGTGGAAAGAAAGAAAGAAATCGATAAAACAGAGCGAACCAAAGTTTTGAGTTGTGTTGTTGAATGTTGGAGGAGGTTGTGTGGGAGTCTAACGCTTCGCTTCTTAAGGACGGATAATTGAAAGAGGTTTTTTAAAAACGAAGGATGTCATATGTGGCGCAGTGCTCGCCGGAATCTTCTACGTCAGGGTGGCAGCGAGACCTGGCGGTATACGAGCACTTAGCCACAATCAGCTGAGCCATTAATAGCCGCCGGGCACCAGGGAGAGAGCGCTGTGACAAATCAGGAGCTTTGACGTCCGTATGACTCGTGAGGAAAGGAATGCTTTGTGGAGCAATTCTTGCCCACATAATCCAACTCAAAGTGAGGGGTGGGGGCTGGGATGCAGAGGATGACAAAAGACAAGCTGCCAGTCATTTGAATGATAAACAGTCAAGTCAAGTCGTCTCAGTAGGTGTCACTTCACTTTATCAGTGTCCAGGCGTGACAACAAACCCATAAGGTCACCCAACCCCCTGGATCCTTTAAGATGTGGACACCGTCCACACGAGGTGTAGTAGCTGCTTGGGTCATTTGAGTTCATGCTGTGACTTTTGGTTTGCTGCACACTGGGCTTTCTAGGCTTTTTCTTTTTTGATTAATTGCTCAAGTTTTTATCACGGTATGCAATATATTATCACGATATTGACCTAAGCTGAAAAAAATTACTATAAAAGGTATAATAACATGTTTTATAACTTACTTTAACTCTCTTAAGGTATTGCCTTCCATTTAATAGATGCACTCTCCTTCCCTTTTTAATTTATTTCGTAGTAATTTAATTTGTTTGTTTTATCTAATGCTATTTTATACTGTTTAATTGTAAATATTTTATTTCAACATTGACAATGTATCTGAACATTTGATTGTGATATTTGGTTTAATTCTCTGTACACTCATTACTCTTGTTTCCATTTTTCTTTTCCTCTTTTATTATTATCATTATTATTATTATTTGTATTAATATTTCTCTTTTTTATTATATATATATATATATATATATATATATATATATATATATATATATATATATATATATATATATATATATATAGTTATTATTATTATTATTTATTATATATCTCTTTTGTAAAAAAAGAAAAAGATAATGATATGTAACTATCTTGATGTAGTGTTTGTTTATTCATAATAAACAATTTAAACATAAAAGGTATAATAACCAAAAATTACTTTCACACTGGCGATGCACTGTAAAAAATAAACATTATTTTACAGGTAATTTTCTTTGCAGAATTTTCCAGTGTTTTCATTATACAGTAAAATAGCTTTTGTTTTCAACATATGTTCTGTAAAAAAAAGTCTAACATTAAATTCACAGTTATTGCTTGTATTTTGGCATTACGGTTTTGTACTTTTTTTTTAAAGGAAATTTTTGTATTAAGTAACGCGTAATTTTACATTAATATTCGCAGATTATTCCTGTAAAAATAAGGAAACACCACCTTGATGCGTGCTAACAAAGACAAGTAACTCTAATCTAATGAAGCACCTCACAAGGTGTTGTGAGACCACAACATTAGTGGCTAAGCAGGTGATAACCTGAGCTCTGCTACCAAAGGAGGAGACTAAGATCCATTGTTAAACTAATTTGATAAAAATAGGTAATACTTTACAAAAAGGTTCATTAGTTAATGCATTTACTAACATGAACTAATCATGAACAACACATGTACAGCATTTATTAATCATAACTGAACATTTACTAATGCATTATTAACAACCAAGTCCATGCTTGTTAACATTAGTTAATGCACCATGAGTTAACATGAACTAACAATGAACTACTGTATTTTCATCAACTAACGTTAACTAATATGAACAAATACAGTGGTAAATGTATTGTTCATAATTTGTTCATGTTAGTAAATGCATTAATTAACATTAACTAATGAACCTTATTGTAAAGTGTGACCAAATTGTGCAACATTTTCACGCTAGAGAGCATGTTTTATGTGTGAATGTACCTGCTATGATATGCTGCAACGGCTCCTTTAAATACAAGATCAATGTAGCAAATTTTGATGCTCTCGCCGCCGGAGCTCACGGTTGCTTTGTTGCCACTTTTGACGCTCTCAAAATGTTGCGCACTGCCTTCGGTGTAAACGCACAGTAATTTGTTTAAATTTAGCCTATGTAAATAGTTTGCAACTTGTATCTTTAAAAAGTTGCACTGCACTGCCAACACTGAAATTGCTGGGTTCCACACAGTTTCTTCATGTCATCCCAACACAAATCGATTAAGTTAACCTAATGTGTTTTTTTTTTTTTGTGTTTTTTTTTACAATTTTAAGGTAATTGAACATAAAACAATTAAGTTGTCCCCAAAAATGCAAAAAAAAAAAAATGTGTTGTTTCAGGTCATTTTAAATAAGTAGTTTAAACCCCTAGGGCTTGGTGGCCACATTTGTGGACAGCACATTTTATCCTTAAGTGGCTATTAAAAAAACTTTGAATGTTTTAAATGTTACAGACATGCAGTGTCATCCTGCAACTGTTTTGCAGCATATGAAATGTCCCATACCCAATTTTTAACTGTCCAAAATGGGAAAAGATTGTTGTTTTTACTCTCTGATAGTCAAAACATGTTAAAACAAATCTATGTTATATATGCATTAAAAACAGATAGAAAAAAAAGTGTTTTATGTAAATTCGCGACACAAGTCCACATATATGGACATCATTTTTCTTTAAAAGTAAATCATATCAAAAGAAGATACTTAGGTTTTTATTCTAATTAGGTTTCAATAAACCCAAATAGCAAAGAGAAATAAAAAACACATGTAAAAAACACATTGGGCCTTAAGAGGTTAACAAGTAACACAAATATACATTTTTGAGTGAATACAACAAACAGAATATTCTTAAATAGCACTCTAAAGTTTCAATAATTAATAATATTCATGTTTTGGTTTTTTAAATACCCACAATGTTGTCTTGATATCTTGTATTTTGGAATATTGGCATATGTCCGCTGCATGCTGACGCTGCCACACTAAGATGAATTAGTTTCCCACCTGTTGTTGGTTTAAACTGACCGCCTGGATCAGCAGAACTATTTGCATGGTTTGTGCTATGCACTGGTTGTGTTTCAGATGTGTTTTGTTTAGTAAGTTGCATATAAAAGTTAAGTTTCAAAACCGCCTAAATTTTGTCAACCCACCCATGCCCTTTTTACCCACACAATCAAATTCAAAATTGCCAAATCTGGCAACCCTGAAAGTGACCTTAATGCCACATCCATCCGACGTCGGACATTGCCTGGCGTTGAGTTCTGACGTCAACCCAATGACTGTAAAAAATATGGACGACGCGGCAGCCCTCAAAACGCCTGCTTGACGGGCACAAACTGTCGCAAAAGACTGCTGAAATTGGAGCCAGACATGCGCAGAAGGATTGTCTGATGGAGCCAGAGGAGGAGCCGCGAAAATGAGCAGAGTCGAGCTTCCAACCAAACGCTTTATGTAAAATCAACTACGCCCCCCGAACTTCTCAGCATGCGTTTGCTGTTATATCAACACAAATGGATGTAATAACGTTAACAAATATGAGGGTTTTATATATTCAATCGCGCCAGCTCCAGGCCGCAGCGCATGACTTACTCGCGGCGTCGCGGGCTGATTCCGGCTCGCATGCGGCAGCGCCTGCTCGCTCGGCCGCCGCATCTGGCTCGATTGACTCGGGCTGGAATTGGGTAGTGAGTCCAGGCATCCGGAGTAGGTCCAGCAGAGGTAACATTAGTCAGTCTGAGCTCTTAGAGATAAGTCTCCGGCAGGCGAGAATCTAGCCGGAACTGTGTTTTGCTATCTGGGTGGCTAGGCGTGTATCAGCAAACTAATAAAGCCCGAAAAAAGCCCTGAACTTAGCGAATAAACAGTGTTCCACCAGGATCATGTATGTCAGAAACTATAGTTTACTGCTGAACTCATTTTGTCATGGTAAAATAACACAGAAATCGAATAATAACATTTCAGTCTACTTCAGTCTCCTGCCGAAACTCAGACGCCGCGCTTTGAGAAACTGTCAATCACAGCTGTCAATCACGATGACACGCCCAGCATTAAATTACTGCTAAAAACAAACTGTTTACAAAAATGAAGATCTGCACCTATTTCAGCACAATAACCAGTGCCTTAATCGACCAGAACTATCTTTCGGGACATTTTATTGCAAGTGTAATATTTTTTTTATTTGGGCTCAAGTTTCCTTCATTAACACGGAGGAGGCGGGCTTTATGACTTGTACTGCAGCCAGCCCCCAGGGGGCGATCTAACGGCCGAAACCTTCACTCAAACGTAGGCTTGCGGCACACTTGCGTCAACCTGATTTTCTTTCCAAACAAAATGTAATGTCCCACGACATTGGGGTACAATGTTAATGGGATGTCATGTCGACCTCCTGTGTCTGCTGAGTAGTTAATTTGGATGTTTAGAAATTTCCAAGAATCCCTGACTGTACTTGTGTTCCCCAGAAGCATATTTATTAATCTGATTGTTTTGCGCTTTCCCTACAGCTGATTGGTTCAATAATCGGCAGACAGGGTACAAAAATCAACGAGATCCGCCAAGTTTCCGGGGCTCAGATCAAGATCGGCAGTCAGCTGGACAGCACTAGTGACCGACACGTCACCATCACAGGCTCCCCAATCAGCATCAACTTGGCCCAGTATCTAATCACATCCTGGTAAGCACTGGACGCCATCCCATCATAACAGATTCCGAGCGTTTGCACTTGACCCACTCCATGTGTTTATGTGGCATATTGTACATCACAAATCTGTAGAGGACCTTGAAGTTGACAAAACCTCTGAGAATATTGAGTCAGGGGTCTCTTCAGTCCACAGTTTGCAGACCCAAAAACAAAAAGAGCACTCTTGAGCAAAGGCACAACTACAAAGCAGGAAGATGTGGCGGAAAGAAGCCAGGCTGAGGGATTAATTGGCCAAGTTTCAAGCCAGAAGCTTGTTAGAGCTTAAAGGCAGAGCATTTTTGGCTGCCTCATAGACAGACTGTAATTTTCTCCCGCGAGATCTATGCGGCTGCAATCTGATCAAATGTTGTGTCAGGCAAGAAAGCTTTAAATTCCCGACAGCTCTTCTTAGTCAACACAAAATTTCATTTGCTAATGTAGGAAAATTAATAGTTCTGTTCTTCACGCAGTCTACGGAAAACGATCGCCGCGTACTTGTAAAGTCAGCTCTATTAACTTAATGAACAGTTTGCTAAACACTTGTAATAAATCCAAACCATTCGAAGATTTTATAGTTCTTTTTATGTAACAATACCAAACAATTAAAGTAGGGCTGTGCGATATGGCAAATAGATATACACCATTAAAAAAATCTATTAATTAAGTCTTTTTTATTTATTTATGGTGGTGAATTGCATTATGGGTGACTTTCATTGATATTTTAGTAGTTTGAAGTAATATAATGTATAATAAAAAATATATAGCGAAATAAGTCTGTAAAATAACAGTAAATGTGCTGCAGTTTATAAGGTGTTTGTAGCGTAATGCACAACACCAACACAGACAATACAGCACTGTACACTATTAAAACATTAATGAAAGTCACTTCTTCAAAGTTTTCAAGGTTCAAAAACATAAATAGATAAAAAAATAAAAACCTGAACCACAAAATATGGAAAACTGCTAATTTATGGATGTTTTACACTTACCGGCCACTTTATTAGGTCCACCTCACTAGAACCTTTTGCCTGTAGAACTGCCTTAATCCTTCATGGCAGAGATTCAACAAGCTACTGGAAATATTAACATGATAGCATCATGCTGTTGCTGCAGATTATGCCATCCAATCTCCCGTTCCACCACATCCCAAATGTCCCAAAAGTGCTCTATTGGATTGAGATCTGGTGACTGTGGAGCCCATTTGAGTACAGTGAACTCATTGTCATCAGAGATGCTCCTCTGACTTCTTGTATCCACAAGGCATTTGCGCCCACAGAACTGCCGCTCACTGAATATTTCCTCTTTGTCGGCTTATTCTCTGTAAACCCTAGTGATGGTAGTGCGTGAAAAACCCAGTAGATCGGCAGTTTTCTGAAATAAAGCAGCCCGTCTTGCACCAACAACCATGCCACGTTCAAAGTCACTTAAACCCCCTTTCTTCCTCATTCTGATGCTCGCTTTAAACTGCAGCAGATTGTCTTGACCTTGTCTACATGCCTAAATGCATTGAGTTGCTGCCATGTGATTGGCTGATTAGACATTTGCGTTACCAATGAATTGGACGGGTGTACCTAATACAGTGGCCGTTATATATATCACAGTATATATAATCCTTACTGTAAAAATAAAGTTCATTCAAATGATATTTTATTTCTATTTATTTACTTAACTTCAGAGCAAATGCTTGATTAAAAATGCAGAGATATAAAATAAATATGAATAAAATATAAAACACTATTATTTAATAATTACAGGTTCAGCAAAAAAAAATATTGCTAAATAAAATGCAAAATGTAAACGTTATACTTTCTAGAGTACAACTTTCTCATGATGCTGTTATCCAATAGCATTTCTTTCTGCATCACCATAATGACGTTTAAAATTGTTCTCTTATAAATAATAGAGCATGATATGAAACAATTAGTACTTATACTGTGGACCAACGCATATTCATTAACAAATAATAACGAGAAAACATAATTAGACGCCGCTCCAAATGAGCAGCTTCAGTTGTTTCGTTTTTCCCTGGCTGGCGAAGAAATTAGCATGTCTAACAGATGCAGTGTCATGTTCAAAGTTATATATCAATTCTTCTAGCGTGTTATGAGTCAGCAAGTCTACAAGAGTGCAATAATTGGGTCTTGAATGAAATATTTATGCTCGTCTCAGGTGTGTTCAACAAGCAGACCGGTGCAGAATGTCAAACTCAGAGAAGCCCCTCATTACTTGACTTGATAGAGCTCACTCAGGCTCCCTGCATGGATAACTACTCTGTTGGTTTTTACGATATTTTGGAAACGTTTTTTGTGTTGTTGTTTTTTTTTGCTTCTGCCTTAATATTATTGATTTTTAGTGGTTTCTCATTAGTTGAATTACATATAAGTTTGGTTTTTTGCCAAGACATGGCAACAAAATGCAAAAAGCAATCCCAGAGCAACCCAAGGCACTCCAGCATCAGATTATTTCCTTAACCCTTTCACACGTATAATCACACCAGTGTGATAAGAAAGTTCAAAGCGCATGTCATCAACTGCTAAATTTAAACAAATTCATTTCCCTGGGCGACCATCTTTGACTCGGGCATTCTGTCTAAATGGGGAAACATCAAATTCTCCAAAACTGTTTACGAAGCTTACAATTACATTACATATTTAGAATCATTAAAAAAATTAAACAACAACTGTCGAATCAAACAAAATCTGTGTATTTTCAGGTTGCCCGAGCTAATGCGCACTCGAAAAGAACAACATCACGACACCAACCTCATTTATGGCCGTTCTAATGCTTCGTCTGATCACGATGTTCTTCTGAAGTAATTCACAACCTGGTCTTGATGGCGAATCTCCTCCATAAATGACATCTACTTTTTGATTACAAATTTTTTAGAGTAGTTTCTGTCATGTGATGTGCGTTTGACAGGACGGACTGTACCTCACGTTCGTTTCGTACGATTACAAATCCAGAGAACTTTTGTTTTCAAGTGTAATTGGTTATTTAAAAGAAGAGATTTCAAGCTTTATGTGGCTATATTTCGTACAATCACACCGGTGTGATAAGAAAGTTTAAAGCGTATGTCATCAACTAAAGCGCATGTCATCAACTGCTAAGAATAAACAGTCACTTGAAGGCAAGTCATTTCACTCAGCAGCCATCTTTGACATGCCTCTCGGGCAGTATGCTCGAGCATTATGTCTGAATGGGGAAACATCAAATTCTACAAAACTGTTTACGAAGCTTACAATTACATTGCATATTTGGAATCACCAATAAAATTAAACAACAACTGTCTCATAAGATTCATTTCTAAACGTTCAAATCAAACAAAATCTGTGTATTTTCAGGTTGCCCGAGCTAATGCACACTCGAAAAGAACAAGATCACGACACAAACCTCATTTATGGCCGTTCTAATGCTTCGTCTGATCACGCTGTTCTTCTGAAGTAATTCACAACTTGGTCTTGATGGTGATTCTCCTCCAGAAATGACAGTGACTCTTTGTTTACAAATTTATGAGCATTCGAGTAGTTTCTGTCATGTGATGTGCGTTTGACAGGACGGACTGTACCTCGCGTTCGTTTTATACAAAAAATATTTCATTACAAAACCAGAGAACTTTTGTTTTTAAGTGTAATTGGTTTATTTAAAAGTAAAGATTTTAAGCTTTATGTGGATATTTTTCGTACAATCACACCGGTGTGATAAGAAAGTTCAAAGCGTATGTCATCAACTGCTAAGAATAAACAAAGTCACTTGAAGGCAAGTCAATTCACTCGGCAGCCATCTTTGACATGCCTTTCGGGCAGTATGCTCGAGCATTATGTCTGAATGGGGAAACATCAAATTCTCCAAACCTGTTTACGAAGGTTACGATTGCATTGGATATTTGGAATCACCAATAAAATTAAACAACAACTATCTCATAGGTTTCATCTCTAAACGTTTGAATCAAATAAAATCTGTGTATTTTCAGGTTGCCTGAGCTAATGCTCACTCGAAAAGGAAAAGATCATGACACCAACCTCATTTATGGCCGTTCTAATGCTTCGTCTGACCACGCTGCTCTTCTAAAGTAATTCACAACTTTGTCTTGATGGCGAATCTCCTCCAGAAATGACAGTGACTCTTTGTTTATAAATTTATGAGCGTTTAAGTAGTTTCTGTCATGTGATGTGCGTTTGACAGGACGGACTGTCGCGTTCGTTTCATAAAGATTACAAAACCAGAGAACTTTTGTTTTCAAGTGTAATTGGTTCATTTAGAATGAAAAATTCCAAGCTTTATGTGGATATATTTTGTACAATCACACCGGTGTTTGAAAGTTCAAAGCGTATCATCGACTACTAAATTTAAACGGGCAGTATGCTCGGGCATTATGTCTGAGTGGGGAAACATCAAATTCTCCAAAAATGTTTATAAAGCTTACGAGTACATTACATATTTGAAATCACTAATAAAATTAAACAACAACCGTCTCATGAGTTTAGTTTCTAAACATTTGAATCAAACAAAAACTACATATTTTCAGGTTGCATGAGCTAATGCGCATACGCACTTGAAAAGATCACGACACCAGTCTCATTCATGGCCATTCTACACATGATCATCCTCTGAATAATAATGGTCAGATTGTGCTGCTCTTCTGAAACAATCCACAACTTGATCTTGATAGTGAATCGTTTTCAAGTTTGTGGGCGTTTGAGTAGTTGCTGTCATGTAATCTGCTTTTGACAGGACGGACTGTACCTCGAGTTAATTTCATACAGATTACAAAATCTAAAATGTTTTTGTTTTCAAGTGTAGTTTGTTCATTTAAAGTAGAGATGTCAAGGTTTATGTGTTTCATGCTTGTGAAGCAAGTATTCGCTGAGATTCTCGTGTGTTTGTTGAACACAAAAATTGTCGTAAAAGCGCACGTTTGGTCTGAGCTTCTCCTCCGGAGACGTGTCAGTCTATAGCGATCAATGATTGGCTCCTGTACTAGTTGGTAGGGCTTCATTCGTCATATTTACCGTTACACTTTTCCCCATTCAAAATAATCAAAACTAAACGAGTGAAATGTCTTGTGTATTCAATAGTGTTGGGTTTAAATCTCGCCTTCGCTTAGGTGTAGAAAGAGTCATGCTGTTATTATCATAAATAAAAAATCATTGTTTTCAAACATTTATTTTAGGGTTCAGACACTGAACCCCAGCAACATCTCGCGACATTTCTTGATTTAGTAGCTAATTCGTATGAATTTCATTCGTACAATTTAGTATGATTTGCTAATTCCATAATGATGGTTGGGGTTACAGATGGGGTTTGATGCCATGCCTACTTTTAAAAATCATATATTTGAATTTGTACAAATAGCCATTAAAACTTTTGACATCCGGCTGCAAATACACACGAGCACTAGCAAAACATGAGCACTGTTTTGGTTACGAGAATAATTACTCTATTCCTCTCCCAGTTAAACCGACCCTTGGTTTCAAGTATTCTGGGAGACGTTGATAAATTATCATGTTGTAAATCCAGCAGCTGTAATCTCTCCACTGCAGACTAAGATAGTGTCTCCCATCATAATGTGTATTATAATATGATCGTTATTAAGCTGTGTAAATGATGTAATCAGTGCTTAATTTGTAAATTGCGAGGTCCCGGAACAGATCAGAGTAACAGATCCGGCATGTTACCAGATCACTATAAAATTTAGAAGACGTGGCACGGATGAAAGTGAAGGGCGGAAGGGGGAGCTATTGGGTATCATGGACGTAAGTAAAGAGGGTTTGGAAGTCACGGAAGAAAGTGAAGAGTGGGTAAAGAGGGTGTACATGTGAGGAGGGGGATCGGTAAAATGAGGTGCCGGATCCGGCTTGTTCCAGCACAATGTTCTTATATATATTTGAGATTCGGAATATCCAATATTTACAACATAATCAGGATGTTTGTGGATATGTGCAGACAGAAAAAAAAAAAAACACAATAAAAAAGTTAATTATAGGAGCTGGATTGGATCATGTGGAATCTTTAAAGTGATTTAAAAAAAACCAAATGCAGATGAAATATTTTAGGCTGACATGTGAAAGGGTTAATGAGTCAAGCCACTGAAAATCAAACATGATTATTTATGTCCTGGATGATTCTAGAGACGTCACCTCCCGATCATTGTCACCCCTGAACAATACTTCCTGCTAGACAGACGTCTCATTTCAATGCATTGCATCAGAACGTTCTGCATATTGAACACACCCCCTTGTTTACATGAAAATCAATCGTACGCCCTCAAAAACACATCAATAGCACATGTCATTACATGCATTTGCAATGAGTACCATTCTGACAAATGCGACTTGATAACAACAACAAAAACGCTAAAGGAAATGCTGCTGAAATTGAAATCATTGTGTCTCTTTTCCCCAAAGCCCCTACCCAAGCCATCACCCTGAATTAAACAGCTCCTTTCCCATGAGTGCCAAGGTCCCCCCTCAAATAATCTGTTGCAACCACCAGCAAAACACACCTCTCTTATGATTTTTTGGTTTCTTCTTTTTCTTTTGACTCTTTTGTTTTTGTTTCTCTCGATTTTTTGGTTTAACATGTCTTTTATTTAACCTTCTAACCCTTCTCCATCCGGCTCCTCCCTTGTCCCTCCACCCTCCTCTCCTCCACCTCCTTCCCTCCCCCGTACAGTTTAGAGACCGCCAAATCCACTGCCCAGTCCTCCTCCATGTCGACCCCTGTAGACCTCAACATGAGCTTCACCCAGACTGCTCCCCCTGCATCGTCCTCTGCCGCAGCCCTGGCAGCGATGGGCGGCCTGCCCCACGCTCCAATCTTGGGCGCCCCCTATACCCTCCCCCTCTCCAGCCTCCTGGGAATCAAATCCGTCCCCTTCCTGGCGCTGTCGGCCCCCGCTGCCACTGCCGCCGCTGCTGCTGCCGCCGCCGCCGCTGCCCCAGCTCACGGCTCCCTGGCCTCCTACACCGCCAAGATCTCCTCGGCCAACGGCATCAAAAAACCGGAGCGGCAGAAGTTTGCGCCCTACTGAGAGGAACCACCCAACACCTCCTTTGAGACAAAATGCCGGAGAGGAATACTTTTGAGGGTTCTTCTTCTCTTCTAGCCTCATGTAGCTGTGTAGAAGCAGACAGAACCAATTTGTTTTCTTTATTCGGTTTCGTAGCTTGTTCTGGAAAACGGCATCAAATTTAACCTTTTGTGTTTTGGCTGAGGTAGCCGCTAAAGCCATAGACTATATTCCTAATCTTTCCCCAAATCTTCTTTACACACACACACACACACACGCACACACACACACACACGTTTATTGTTCTGCTCTTATTTATTGATATTAACGAATTATTCCCGCAAAGAGTTTATATAACGTAGAACACTGTTGACTGATGCTAATCTCTTACGTATCAGCTTTTATACAACGATGTCTGTGAATGCTTCTGTATACGACGACTTCCTTGATTTTTTTAGAAATCTTTAAACGATGTATTAAAACTAAACAAACAAAAAAAAAAGATGATGATGTTTTTCAACATGACAGATCTAAACCTTTTGTTTGTGTTACATTTCTACGTTTGGTTCACATTGGTTATGAAATGTTATTTATTTTATTTATTGTGCAGAGTGTTTCTTTTAAAGTCAATGTTTTCAGTAACAGCTGCAGGTATATATATATATGACTACAAAAAAAATAATTTCTTCCATTCAATCATGGGTTACGTGAAAAAGACGATAGTTACGTAGCCAAGTTTCTGTACTTGCGTGCCATGATGAATTCTGGGATGAATATCTAAACATAGCCTGGCTATCAACAGCCGAGTACGGACGAATGCTGTTTCAGGGGGGTTTCTTTCACCATTTCTAATGGCATAAAATGACTACTATGCATGGTGACTGCCCATGTTGGAGACTAATGCTGCATGTTGACTTGGCCCCTCACACTAGCAAAGACACATACAACATAGACTCATTCTAAAAGCGTAGTCCTATATACATTTCCGGAGACCGCAAATTATGTAGCCAGAAGTATTTCATTTTTTAAATGAACGCTATGAGGCGGCATGACGGCATTTGGTTTTGCGCTTACCATCTGATTGCTTACCTCCGTATGGACGGCTTTCCCACTGTAACCAGTTTGTCCCAGTAGCTCGTCATGTGGGTCGGCGGACTTGAGATGTAGGGAGGAGTTGACCACGACGACAGGGTTCGAGTCTGGTGAAGAGCAGTTCCAGTAAGCAGGTAAAACAAAAACAGAAGCCAAAAAATAAATTAAACAAGTAAATAACAGGGTGAGAATAACAGGGTGAGAACTCTGCGCTGGTTGGGGAAATTTCATATTCAACCAAAACAATACATTGCAATTGGCTTAAGATAGGCAAGCAAAATTTGCAACCTGCAGAACCTGGGAATTTAAAAAATAAATAAATCAGACGAGGGCTTTTCTTTTTCTGCTTTCGAAAATTGTTGGTTGGAGGGTGGGTCAGTCGATTGGTCGGTCATTCAGTCAGTCAGTGGAACAGTTGGTCAACAGCGGCCTCTGGTGGACTAATGTGAGAACAGCAGGCGTGAATGGCACTCGCAAAAGAAATTTGAGATGTCAAAAAAACATACACAGCGGCCTCTGGTGGATTGATGAAAACAAAAACTGCAAAAAAAAGGTCGCTCCTGGGACGTTTTTCGCAGCCTCCGGAAATTCAGAGGTACGTTTTCAGAATGAGTCTGGGTTGGACACGTAGGTCTCAGAGGTGTTGCAGAAGAGCAATATGGATTGAAAGTACTAAAATACACACACACACACATATATATATATATAAGACCTACATGTAAACATGCTTCAAGTGTAGCTACGTTAATCATTATGCTCGATCACAGAGTATACTTCGTGGACTGATTATAGTTTCTCTTTTCATTTTTCTAAATATAGAAATAATCTCACTTATTTTTCTAAACCTAGAAAGCTAAAAACTGAATGTGACCACTCACATGATTCATCCACGTGGTAGATTTAGCGTAACCTTGACTCGTGGTTTTTCTTTTGTTGTTGTTGTTCTTTTTGATTCGTTTAGATCTCTTCAAACGTCTGTCCCATAATCATTTGCATGAATTTAACTCGGCGTCTATGCAAAACATCTCGGGGCGGTTCAGCGAGGTATCCTATGTCATGCTTCATAGATGGCCCTAAATAAACCACCATTGAGAAAGGGCTATCGCAAAAAAAGACAAAAGAGAAAGCGGGAACCCAAGGACAACGATGCTCTCGAATTTATGAACCATGCTGTGTGTAATATATATACATAAATATACGTTCTATTGTATCCATATTTCCCATTCCAAAATCTAACCACACATAACCACCCTTTCACACGCTCTGCGAAACGGCTCGGTGCGGCTGTGAGATTTCCACTGTAGGGTTTCCAGAAAACTGTTCAGATGCTTGAATTATCCCAGGTCTGGGTTTTGGATTCACTCGAGGTTTCGTTTGTCAGCCTTGGCATAAATGCAACTCTTGTTTTTAGTTATATTCATCAACGCCATACAAATGAATAAAAACAATACTGTATTAACGTAATCCGCTGTCTTTTGTCCTTTTCTAAGGGTGTGAAATTAATTGTCGCGTGTGTGTGTGTGTGTGTATGTGTGTGACTAACAATTCGCTGTTTAAAATGTTGAACTTTAAGAGTTTAAAGTTGAAACCTCAAATAAACAGGCAATTAAAACTAAGCCCGAAGGTACAGTGTGTGTTTTATTAAAGCAATAATCCACTCAAGGTGATTGCAGTGATTTTTTAACATGGACACAGGGTGTTGTTAGGCTTGTAGCCCCTTTACGGTGTACTGTAAGACAGCAGTATTCATTTTCCTTAAAGCATAATAATAATAATAATAATAAAGAGGTAGTACCAAAGTAAGAAGTACTGAATCTTTACAAAGTGAAGAAGACAACAAACACCTGTAAATGACATTATTAAATCAGAAACTATGGTGCAAATCAAAAATTCACACACATGTAACTACTATATATATATATATATATATATATATATATATATATATATATATATATATATATATATATATATATATATATATATATACACTACCTGACAAAAGTCTTGTGGCTTATCCAAGTGTTAGGAGCAATAATTAATAAGTTGAATTCTAGTTGATGATTTGGTATCAGAAGTGTCATGTGAAAGGCAAAGGCCTCTAGATGACGCTTATTTGAGCACAATAAAATATGATCATGCCTTGATTTTGAATGATTTCATCAGGACAGTAAGGTCTGACTTTGCTTAGGCAAAAATCTCATCCCTGAACAGAAATAATGCCCAGTATAGAAGATAAAGTCATGCTGCAGTGGAGAAAGAATGAATATTGTGTCTGACTCCATCATGAGCTTAGAGGACTGCATCCATACATCTGCAATGACTCAAATCACTTATTAATAAAGTCATCTGGAATGGCAAAGAAAGCGTTCCTGCAGGACTCTCAGAGTTCATCAAGAGTCTTTGTGTTCATCTTCAATGCCTCCTCCTTCATCTTAGCTCAATAATGTTCATCTCTGGTGACTGGGCTGGCCAATCCTGGAGCAGCTTGTCCTTCTTTGCTTTCAGGAACTTTGATGTGGAGGCTGAAGTATGAGAAGGAGTGCTATCCTGCTGAAGAATTTGCCCTCTCCTGTGGTTTGTAATGTAATGGGCAGCACAAATGTCTTGATAGCTCAGGCTGTTGATGTTGCCATCCACTCTGCAGATCTCTCGCATGCTCCCATACTGAATGTAACCCCAAACCATGATTTCTCCTTCACCAAACTTGACTGATTTCTCTGAGAATCTTGGCTCCATGCTGGTTCCAGTAGGTCTTCTGCAGTATTTGTGATGATTGGGATGCAGTTTAAAAGATGATTCATCTGAAAAATCCACCTTTTGACACTTTAGGATCAACTAGAAGTCAAGTTATTATTTGCTGCTCTTACAACTGGGATCCACAACACAACTTTTGCCAGGTAGTCAGTGTATATGTATGCGCGTATATATAAGCTACAAAATTTGCTAGAAAATAAATATTTTGCAATTAATTTAAGCATCTGTTTGTCTACATATTTATACCCTGCAGTGTTTATTAAGTGTAAATGTGTCCAGCAGCAGCGTCTTGTCTAATTGTGAATGTTCCTTCACTTAAGAAGCACCTTTACTGTCTTGCTTGATAGAAATGTTAAAGGAACACTCTGCTTTTTTGTAAATAGGCTCATTTAACAAATCCCTAAGAGGTAAACAGTTGAGTTTTACCATTTTTTAAATCTAGTCTGCCAATCTACAGGTCTATTATTGAATCAAACCATTGTCATCTTGCTCAAAAAAAAAAAAAAAAAAAAAGTTTTGATCATTTTCTTTAATAAAATTGACTCTTCTGTAGTTATGTCATGCACTAGGAATAACAAAAAAGTTGGTAAAACTCATTGTGAAAATAAGCATTCCTTTATGGTGACAGACTATTTTACGGGACAATCTGTGTGAGCAGCACAAACTTGTTTCTGTGCTGTATCAGTTGTTTAACGACCAATTTAAAACTTTACAATGTTTGATAAAATTCCGACAATCATGCTTGAATGCTTTGTGCAGTGGAAAAAGGTGGCTTATGAGTGTAAGAGAGAGACAGCAGGAGTAAAAGAGCATGATATAACTAGATAAAGCACTAAATAAAACCATTTAGTGGCAAAAAATTTTGTACTATATATATATATATATATATATATATATATATATATATATATATATATATATACTTGTTTATAGGCTGATTTATCCTGCAATGGACCCTTTTCACATTTCCAGGTTTCTCAATAGTGTAAGTTGTCATAGCTGGGTAAATTTTCAAGTGCAGTGAATAGAAGAATACAACATAGAATTATTTTACAACCCTATTCGCTGAAATAATGACAGAAAAACTTTAGGATCGTGTTATCAAGACTTTCAGAAAAAGCTAAACAATAGTGTGAGACTGATAACGGCAGCGAGAGGACAGAATAGTTTTAAATTTACCGTCCTGCCTATAGACGCTGCATTAGAAACACCTTGCATAAGCAGTCATTCTTTTTTTCATAATTTGATGCACAGATGATATAATACATACATCAATACCTATAAATGTACATACATTTAAGAAAAAATCTAAATATTAAAAGCTTTTATGAATTTAAAATGTTAAAAAGGGTTTATTAACTGCACACATAAAAACGTTCAACAACCAATCAGAATCAAGCACCCTGCAGTCTCAGATTTCACTTTTATATACAATTGTTACTTGTTGAGTGTTCAATTAGCTAGTAATTCCTTAATAAAAAGAACACGTTTTATTTTTCGGTGTCAAAATCAAGCAATTAACCGACTCGCAGTATAAAATTTCCCCTTTAGATCCATGTATGTTACTTGTTGTTCATTAAATTTACTAGCAATTCCTCAAAAGAGGGAATTTTTTTACCACTTTTGAAGTGGTAGTTTGTACCATTGAATTTTTATTAATATTTTTATGTATATATTTCCCGAGTGATGTTTAATGGAACAAGGGCATTTTTATAGTATTCCCTATTATATTTGTTTCTTTTTGAGTAATTTGGATATTACTCCACCCACGTAGTGTGACAGCAAACAGTTTGACAAATATTGCAGCTGATGGACAACATATTGTGCTTTTGAGGCTTTTTTTAGAGGAGAATGTAGTTGTTTAGATTGCTATTATACAGTTTATTAATAAGGAAAGTGCCTATTTTGAATATTTATAATTTCTGAGATTCAACATGTGGGCAGCCATCAGCCTGTCATACCGAGCACAGCAAAGAGGGTTGACGTTCTTTCACAAGATGGCGACAGAGACTGCATAAGAAGCCCTTAGGGGAGGAAAAACTCAGCGTAAATTTCAAACTACAGCTGATCAAATCATTATAAACCAGGTAAGTGACATTCTAATTCGATCTCTTTATTGTATGTTGTGGTGCTGTATTCATAATAAACTGCTAGTGTTTTGCTAGTTTGCTAGTGTTTGCTTTGCTTTGGCTTTTTCAGGGTTAGTTATTGTGATCTCCCGATTGCAACAGAATAATACTGGGACATCTTTGTAGACTGATGGCATTTCACACCCTCTAGCCTTATAATCTTAAAATGTGAGCAAAATCACCTGTTTTGTCATTACGCTAGAGAATCATTCAAACACTAGCTCCAAAGTGATGTTGGTAAAGTAGCAGTGGTTTCTGCTGTTCTGACGTCAGCTGCAGATGTGAATGAAAGGTTGAAGAATGTAGTTCCTTATAAAAAAAAGGGTTTTTGAGACTCTCTGTGTTTGATTTTCTGTTTTATATAATCGATTATGCCGTCAAACTGTTGTAAAAACGCAATATCACACTAGTAGCAAACCAATGTGTCTGTATATCGGCACTGGTGGGACACTAAAGGCTGATTTATACTTCTGCGTCAAGCGCACCTGTATGCTACGGCGCAGCCTAGGCGTTGATGCATAGCCCTACGCCGTGGCAATCGGCGTTGCTGACGCGCACCTCTCAAAAAATTTAAGTACACGTCGCAACGATGCGTTGTGTGATTGGTCTGTGATTGGTCGGCTTAGTAGTGCTGACGAGTCTGGGCGGGACCGAGAGCCGCACAAGCCTGATGGAGCGTTTGTTTACAAGTGTGGAGTCCTGTGAAGAAGCTCCGGGGGCCTGTTTCAGTAAAGGCTGATTTATACTTCTGCGTCAAACGCCGGCGTATGTAACGGCGCTGACGCATAGCCCTTCGCCGTGGCCGTCGGCATGGCTGACGTGCACCTCTGAAAAATTGTAACTACATGTCGCAACGACACGTAGCGCAAGCTCTGTGATTGGTCGGCTTGGTAGCGCTGACGAGTCTGGACGGGACGGAGAGCCGCGGGAATGGCGCGAGCGATTGTGTACAAGTGTGGAGTCCCATGAAGGAGCTCCGGATGGAAAGTTTTGTTTTGTGTTTACCTCATAGTTAAAGTTGTTGCACGTCCGCCGGTTGCTGCCTCAAAATGAGCGAATTTGAGCCACTTGTACATCCCGGAAGCGTTCAGGAAAAGTAAAATTGCAGTGAAAAACTCGACACAGAGGAACATTTACACCTCACTGCCAACTAGCATTTTGGAAGTGTTAATGCAGACCAACAGAGGCAGCGCACAGAAGTATAAATGCACAGCCACGCGCGTTGCATGCGCCGTGGGTTACGCCGGTCACTTGACGCAGAAGTATAAATCAGGCTTAAGGAGGTTCAAACAACTCAGAGTTTCAACTTGAACTCTGAGTTGATTTACCGAGAGATTAAAAACTCAGAGTTTTCGGTTTCAGAACAGCTAATCTGAGTTAGGTCAATCAACTTTGAGTAGACCAACTCAGAGTTAAGCACGCACACCACGACTATAAAAAGGCATTGTCAATGGAGCGCAGATATTACGAGTGACCATGGCAACATCTTAAAAAAAGAGATCACCATTTCTTTCTCCAGCTAAACTTGATGTGATTATGCAATGTTATAGCAAATATGAGTGTATATATTTAAAAAGA